CTATACATCTCTCCTAGTCCAGGTTTGTGCCAAACTCTCCACCCGAGGAGTCGCAAGTAAGTTTGTATCTATTTGTTATCTGTTTTAATTTATAGGGGGAAATGTTGTTTGTCATATCTACTTTTGCTGCTCCCATTGCATCATTATGCAGGTGTCTCTTGCTTTCATTAACACTTCTCTTAAAATACCCTTGGATGAATCTGGCTTGACTGGGTGTGTAATTTCACCAATGCCCATTTTAGTTCCTTGTCTAGGAAAGAGCCTATCCTTGTCTATGCTCTGGAGTCTTTTATATGTGATGATCATATCCTCTTGTTCTTCACTTCAGATACTTAGTATCTACATTCTTTGCCCAGAGCTCAGGCACCAATCTGGATGCATTCCTTTGAAGCTTTCATTTTTCACTCAATGTGTAAATATTTGAGTTTCATACATGTGCTGTATATTCAAGAAAATATCCTACATAAAGGCTAGTGTTCTAAACAAGTCTGTCATTCTTATGTTTAGTATCTGCCACCAATATTATTCAGTTCACAAGTGCTACAGGAAATAGGTTTGAAGTAATGGTTATTCCTATATCCTTTATCTCATTTTTTTTTTTTTTATGTCCATTAAGCAATTTCTCTGGCTGCCTTTCTCTACCTCCCAGGTTCATTACTTTTGATTTCACTATGACTAAATTCTAGCAAACACACATTCATCCATTCCTGTAGTTGGTCCAACTTATTCTTCAGCCTCCTACTATCTTCTGTAAGGAACTCTTACTAACTGCACTCTACCATCCTGATTCTTCATCACCTACTGTGACATTTAATTTCTTTTGGTTCAGCTATTCTTTAATCCATGCTGCTGTTTCCCCTTACTTTTCCAGTGTTGAGCCGTCATCTATGTAACACCAGCAATACTTTTTTTACAGTTTAGGAATACTCATCAGTTGTTTTCTTACTGTCTGACCTCTGTGAAGTCTTGCTGAATGTCTTTATAAATCATGTTTGTTTTCTGTGAGGAATTTCACATTTCCTAGGTAATCAAGTAGCATTTCTCATTCAATTAATATGGCAATTACATGCTCATTAAACATTGATGTGTAGTTTGTTGAAGATCTGTGCAAATGGCTTACATTAGATTTTAGCTCATTCTTGCTGGTAATTCATTGGTTCCTTTTGTCTTTGCTATATTCAGTCTATCAGGAGCCCTCTCACTTCCTTGCTAGTTATTTCAATGCATGAATTTTTCCCTTGGTTTGCTCTTCTATCTCTAGCACTGGCCTTTACCCATTTATAAATACACTATGAACTTTATTTTGCTCATTGGACCAATTTTTTATTTTCTGCGAACGATCCTCAGCTTTCCTGTTATCTGATTGATGTAATTTGTCTCCCTATGAGAGCCTTTTCCATGTTTACTTTGGCTGGTGTATTCATTTTATTGTTTTATGGATTCTCTATTTGAAGATATTCATTTTTGGTTCTTTCTAGTCTTTATCAGATGGACTCCATTTTTCATGCACTTGTTTTTTGAGCTTGAGTTCCTTGTGTTTTTTTGGGAAGTACACCTTGTCACTGTGTATGTAGATTGTATACTGCCTGTGCAGAATCAATTAAATATTTAAACTATTGAAAATGTCCCAAAGTACTTGGATTGTCCTTTCTGGAATGGAGAAGAGAGATACTTGGTAATATACACATGGAAGATTATTATTATAATCAAATAAGAAAGCACTAAACCAACAAGGGTCATGCAGAAATACATACATGGAAGATACCTGAAGCCTGATCCCTAACCTGCATACTGCTGTAACAACTGATGGGTGAAAGATTTGGGAGAAAGTTTGAATATACCCATGAAAAGCATAGAGGCCATGGATGCAATTAGAGAACATTCAGTATCATGGCCCAAGACTAATATACTACCAGCATATATCAGATACATATACTGTTAGAACTAAAGTTTCTAAGAAACTGAACTGTTTCATTCTACAGATGCTGGATCAGACAAGTTATGATGAATATGTGGGTCTGCAGACCAGCAGCACAAAACAGTAAAAGCCTGGTCTTAGGTTGGGCCACATACAGAAGCAGACTGGGTCTTAAAACCAGCCTGGGCATCTGTCACCTATCGGGTCGACTTGAGGGCCAAAGGCATGTTTTCACTGCTCGGCTAAGGCGCGTTAAATTTTTGTACAGCGGTCCTCTGGGCACTGCCCAAATGCCCATATGGCATATCCACCTCTGGCTGCATGGGTAGATAAGCCTTCAAAACTAGTTACTGATAGAGCAGAGATCACAGGTAGATAAATGGGTGGTTCTACTCAACTTCCTTTTCTTTCTCTATGAAGTGACATACAATTTAACTTTCAGTGATTGAAATGGTTTGAATATCCGTTTACTCTCATTTAATTTACAAGTCCTGTGACTCGGCCTTTGTAACCATGTTTATGATATGCCACTCTAGATTTATCTCTAGTACATACATGTACTCCATCTACACTTCATTCCACTGGCACTGGTGCCCTGCTGCAATATATCAAATTGATTTGGATTTAGCATTTCTTTTTTAAAAAATGTGGAGAGTGACAGTCTAGACAGTGAAAAATTGAATGAAATGAAAGAGGAGGGGGGGAGGTTAGTTTGTGTGTTGGTGGGCATTTGTGAAAAGAAGTTCATCTATTAAGGCCAAAATAGTAATATACCAGAGTATAGTGGTACCAACACTTATGGGTGTGAGGCAATAGTTCATGTAGCAAGGAGGCTGAAGTCAATGAAGAGGTCATGTTTGAAAGTAATATAAATATAAATAAAGAGGGTGTAGGATTACCAGTTATAACTCAAGAGGGCTGAGGAGGGGTAATACACAATAATACAACCAAGAGAGTGTACAAATCTGCATCAGGTCCAGATCTCCGACTCTTAACCCTTAAACTGTCCAAGCAGATCTACGTTCACATGCGTAGTGCTCCAAAAGTAGATATAAGTTTTTTACACATTTTCAAATGTAAAAAAAAAAATCTACTTTTTTTTACGTACTTTCAAATGTTGAAAAAACGTAGATCTACATTTGGACAGTTTAAGGGTTAAAGTCCACCAGCTTCTGGGAACCCTTAGTTGACGGTGCGAGCATGTTAGATCAGAGTGGTTAATGAGAAGATTTTATGACTTATGCTGTTGGAATGTGTGCATAACATTTATTAACTAGGAAACCAATTAGCAGGGCCTCAGTTCCAGCAGTTGTGCTCTGCAGGGGTAAGGATATTGCATTTTGGGGGGGTCATATCAATTGTAATGTCTGCATGTGTCTAGAAAAACAGCTATTTAGTGATATTTAATGTGTTTCCTCTTTTGTGGGTTTTGGAATGGAAGGTGTATTGCAATTTGTTGGGACAGGTGAGTAGTAGTTTGAATGAATGGGGACAGTAAGATCATTCACTATGGGTGAGTAATGTTGGAATGGTCTGCAGGTGTCCCTGAATAGGTTGAGAGATGTCAGGAGGTTCAGTAGAATTGGGGAAGGAGTGTTGGTTGGAATTTAATTGGGGGTGGGGGAGGGGGAAGGAAGAAGTAATGTCGAGGTGGTGGGATATCAAAGTAAAGGGAAAGGTCAGGGAAAAGTATGCTTGATTTGGGTTTGGAGTTAAAAGTATAAAGTACAAGTGAATGGGGAGGTAAGGGCATATAAGAGGATGATTACAAGGAAGTGAGTGAAAGGTATGTGTCCCTATCTGCCATACTGAGAGAAAATGGGACAATGGTTAGCAGTCTTAACATTTTCCATCACTGACTTCTATTCTCTTTTCAACATTACTCATTTCATGTTTTATTATACTGTTCTTCAAATCAGTCTGGGTTCTTTGTTAACCAGCACACAAACAGCTAGAACTCTCTCACCTACCAATTACTGAATTATAAGGGTTTGTCTAGTGACCACTAGAAGCTCTACCAACTAAATTTTTTGGTATTTCCATTAGCATTTTTTTTTTTTTTTTACCTTCTGCTAGTTTGCTCACATCCCAATTTTAGCTCATTTAAGTTCTCAAAACATCCTTTTGCAGCCTGTTCAAAGAAGTACAGATTACAAAAATTTCTTTTCAGTTCCTACAGTCTAAACCTTGCTCATACCTGTCGGTATACTTCATTTCATTTTGAATCCTACATCACCCTTTATAACTTTTCCTTTCTAATTATTTTATTAACACATTGGCCAATTCCCACCAAGGCAGGGTGGCCCAAAAAAGAAAAACTTTCATCATTCACTCCATCACTGTCTTACTCGAAGGGTGCTTCACAGTTATAAAACTGCAACATTAACACCCCTCCTTCAGAGTGCATACACTGTACGTATTTCCCATCTCCAGGACTTGAGTCCGGCCTGCTGGTTTCCCTGAATCCCTTCATAAATGTTACTTTGCTCACACTCCAACAGCACGTCAAGTATTAAAAACCATTTGTCTCCATTCAGTCCTATCAAATACACTCACGCATGCTTGCTTGAAGTCCAAGCCCCTCTCACACAAAACTTCCTTTACCCCTTCCCTCCAACCTTTCCTAGGCTGACCCCTACCCTGCCTTCCCTCCACTACAGATTTATACACTCTCGAAGTCATTGTTTCGTTCCAATCTCCCTACATGTCCGAAACACCTCAAAAAAAAAACCCTCCTCAGCCCTCTGGATAATAGTTTTGGTTATTATAATTACTGTTTGCTATAAGTTTGCAGGGAGGAGAGTGCTAGCGCTTGCCTTGTGTGCACACACTTGGAGTATGAGAAGAAAATTGACTTCAGTGCACCATTTCATCACAACCGAGTGAGAAAGCAGAGAAGACAGGTAAGGGAATGGTGCTAGTAGTAAAGTTAATAATGTAGGCAGTATTGCAAAAACAGGACTACAGTAGGCCCCCCTGACCCACACAAGGCAGGGCTAGTGAATGAGTAATAAGAGTAAATTATATCCCACGGTGGTGCAGATCAAGTATTGTAAAACAAACACGTGTTAATAAGACAATATGCGGTTTATGGTATTTTATTGAGAAGTTTCATCCACTAGAGGGCTTTCTGTGAGAATTAATAGAGCATAAATATAGTGGAGACAAGGTGACGAGTAGAGACAGGAGGGCAACTACACTTGCAGTAATGTTACTCTTTCTTGTTCTTAAGTATCTGTAATCATCACTGCTTGCAGCTCAGTCAAGAAACTGAAGATCGCAGACAACTTAGGAAGATACAGGAACACTTTTCCTGAGAGAGAAAGTAATGGATATACATGCCAGTGTACATAGGCTTACAGAAAACGGGAAAAAAATTACCACAAGCTCTGTTCACTGATTTGTCATAGGCTTTTCCTTTTGTTGACTTTAATCTTACTGTATACACAATGGCACGTACATCCACTAATCTCCTAAACCCAGTTCTCCTGCACAAACTCCTGTACTTTGCCTTCACTACATTTCCAATCTACAAAACCTTAACATCCTCATTCTCTAACCAGCCAATTTTATTTCTGCCAAACTAATACACTTCATACTTCTCTTGGCACTGATACCTCCAATGCCTACTCAACTTTCAGCTCTTTTTCAATACTTTGGTGGAATGGGCCACTTTCCTGACACTGTTACTGTACGTCATGTCAAAGGATCCATAGATGCCGTCATGTTGAGCCAGCCCTTATATGCAACATTCCTAACATAAATTTTAATTATTTTGTTTTAGTAGATGCCTACCTTTCTCTGTGTGTTTTAACCCTTTGACTGTTTTCGACGTATAAATACGTCTTACGAGCCAATGTTTCTGACGTATATATACTCAATAATTCTAGCGGCTTCAAATCAAGCGGGAGAAAGCTGGTAGGCCCACATGTGAGAGAATGGGTCTGTGTGGTCAGTGTGCACCACATAAAAAAAATCCTGCAGCACACATTGCGTAATGAGAAAAAAAAACTGATAGTTTTTTTGGAATAAAACGCCGATTTTGAGGTGTATTTTCGTATAGTATTTATCGTTGTATTCGTGTTTTCATGGTCTTAAGTGATAAAATGGAAAACGTATTACAGAAACAGAGATGATTTTCATTACTTTGACAATGAAACGACCTTGAAACTGAGCTCAAAGTAGTGGAAATGTTCGATTTTTACCAATGTTCAGGAGTAAATAAATCACACCACACATCCAATACACGTCAACTGGGGAGTCTAATATTCTTTCACTAGTGCACTGATATTATTTATACCATTTTTACAATAATGCAGTAGTCTGCATAACAGTAAATTTTGTATTTTTTTGTATGAATAAAAAATCAAAATAGAAAGCAATAATAATATAAGAGGGGCCTAGAGATGTGACTAATGAACAGAGCATATGTTATTTTAGTGCCACGAATGTCTACCTTGTTTATTCTGGACCCTATTTTGAAATTGGCATCTTTTTTAGTTTGCGTGAAATTGGCCAAATTGCCAATTTCTGACCACCATATTGGGTAGTCCAAATTAGTAAATGGGAGGTTTCTTGTACTCAGCTGATAGATAAAATGGAGTTCTAAAGAAATAGCTGAGTTTTGTCAACTGGAACAATGGAATTGGCTGAAAATAGGGCTCAAAGTCGGCGAAATCGCCGATACGCAAGTGTCGCGGGAGCATAATTCCATGAGTTTTCGACCAAATTTCGAACTTTTGGTGTCATTACCATCGGGAAAAGATTCTCTATCGTTTCACATTTTTTTTTTTTTTTTTTTTTTTTAAAATTGAGCGACATAGAATGACAGTTTCAGAGAGGGGCCTGAAACAGTCAAAGGGTTAAATTATAAACTTCAGACCACTCATGACCTGTAAGTCTACTGCAGTGCTCTGTTCCTTGGGGACAGGTGTTAGTGGTTAATTACATCAAGGTAATGGAGATTGAGTAGTTTACCTTCATTACCACTAGTCTTATTAATGTTGGTAGAATTACCAACAATATGTTAAGTAAAAGGACACAAGTGCAACTAATGTGACAGTTTTATTGTGGCAACATTTCACTCTCTAGGAGCTTTATCAAGCCGTTACACTTGTAACGGCTTGATAGAGCTCCTGGAGAATGAAACATTGCCACGATAAAATGTCAGGTTAGTTGCATTTGTGTCCTTTTACTTAACGCCACAAGTCTTCCATATTTTGGACCAGTAGGTCTGCCACAGGGCTCCTCTCTTCTATGCTATTATTGCCTTATTACAACTATCACTACCCTTATTACTATTACCACTCCCTTTCTTCCTGTATCCCTCTTCCCCACCTGTTTTCTGATATTCTCTTAGTTGTGACATGACAGCAGTCCAGGACAGATTGAAATGTCTTCCTAGTTTTATTTTTACAAGTACTAAACCTATAATTCAAATAATTTCCCCATTTGTGGCATTTACTACCTCCTCGTGGATCCTATTCCAGCAATCTAACATTTGTGAGTTTTGACATATTCTGTGTCTATGCTGTTCAAGTATCACCTGTGGTGCTGCATAATTACAGCATATCTGCAGGAGTGGGCTCCATTTAGCTTCAGAATGCCCGAGTAGGTGAAATCTCTTAAAATGCAGATGCTCCCTTATCAAACACTTACTCAGTCTCATGCTTACTCGTTCAATCACACACACACTTTCATGTTCTTAGAAATAGCTTTTCCCTAGAAGGAGGTGCCTATATGCCAATGAGGGGTTCTTGAGCTCGTGAATTAGCTCTATCCTCCCTTTCTTTGAATAAAACCTGATTCTCTCATTCCTCCAAACATTGTGAACCCCTACAGGTTTAATGAACCCATCTCCAAATTAATACAATAAGCAAAAGTAAATTCTAAACACTTTTATCTACTTATGATCCCAAGTAGGGCTAAAATGGGAATTTCATGAAAAAATGTGATGAATGTGCACCTGTTAATACTTTTAGCAATTTAAATTTTGTACTTTTTTAAACTAAGCACTAAACTCAGAAGGGTCATACAACTAAATAAAATTGGTCCTATTAGTATTACATTCATTAATGGGAGTACTACTATACCACTTGAGGTCATACAGCTCCTGGGGGAAATGGGAAGCAATCATGCTCAATCCAAAGGGAGGCTAGGTATAATTCCTTGGATCGAGAACACCTCGCCAGCATTATAGCACTTCCATAAGTTTCCTTTAAAATAAGTAGCAATCCAGCCTGAAACTTTAGAACTGTTGTCTACTTGCATCTCATAAGAGATTTACTTGAAAATCTTTCCTTTAAAATATAAAAAATGAAGAGAGTGACAAGATTTCAATTAAGTAGGCCAACTGTATGTAAGGAACTATAGATGAATATCTTACAAATCCTTTACATCACAAGACTAGTTCTGTTACACTTCCTTCCAGGACTCTTGAATTTAATAGAGTGTATTTATATAAAGGTGCATTCAGAGGTTTGTGCAATGAAAAAACATGATGCATATCTTTCAAGTTACTGTAGTTAGCTTTAACTTGATGAAAAGACTTCTGTACCAGAAGAAAGTGTAAACCAAAGTATTTGCCAACACAATTTGTCAGTAAGACCTAGAGAAATATATTTATAAATACCTGCATTGTGTATTCATTTAAATAAAGCACAATAATGCTTTGAATATTAGCACAAAACCCTAAATTATGCATTTCAAATATTTATCCTTTATAACAGGTTGAGAGCAATAATATCAATAAAATATAAAAATTTCTAAAACACTGATCTTGAAGAAAACAAATGGCATTCATTCACTCTGCCTGATAATTTTAAGGAAGACTTCAAAATTTAGGGATGCAATAAATTTCTTCAATGATGAATGTTTTAAGTTGTTAGTCAAATACAATCTATCAGAAGAGAATAATCTGCAACTAGTTACCAGCAATAATAATAATAGTTGTCTAAGGTTTATGGAACCTATATTTGGTTATCTACGTTATGCATTTTCCATTATTAACACTATTAACCTCCCTAACAAGCCATTTGTTTTGCTATACATTAAATGAAAATTTAACTCCAGAACTGACCTTGCATACCAAATAAACTCACTCTCATGGAGACTGTATATAAAATGGAATGCAGCACATGAAAACTAAATACAATTCTCTAACTATCAAAGCACCTTTTTTTTTTTTAATTATACTGTAAGGAAACTTTTACTTAGTATGGTGCACAAACTTTGTCAGTAATATACAGTGGAACCTCAAAAATCGAACTTAATCCGTTCCTGGAGCTAGTTCTAAATTCGAAAAGTCTGAAATTCGAAGCAATATTTCCCATAAGAAATAATGGAAATACAACTAATCCATTCCAGAAACCCAAAAATATTCACACAAAAAATACATTTTATAGAGATTAATTACAGTTTTACATACAACAAATACTATAGTTTTTAATTATGTATAGTAATACATATAAAATAACATTTTTACTTACCTTTATTGAAGATTGGTGATGGCATCTGGAAGATAGGGAGGAGAGGGGGAGTTGGGGTTAGTGTTTGGAAGGAGAATCCCCCTCCATGAGGACTTCAGGTAAAGCCCTTCTCTGTCTTTTAATGCCACTAGGACCAGCTTGAGTCACTGGACCCCTGTCTCGCAAAATAACTGTCCACAGTCCTCTGTTTTTGGCACCTCTTTAACATTTCCCTAAAATGGGACATGGTTCTGTCACTGAACTTGTTGCAAAGATGGCTTGTTTCAGCTTGCTCAGGGTGGTACTTCTGCACAAACATTTGGACATCATTCCACTTGGCACAAATCTCCTTAATCTTTGAAGAAGGCACCTCATCCACTCCCTATATTAACACCTTTTGCAACATCAGCTTCCTTGATTTGTTCTTTCTTTGACAGGATAGAACCGATGGTCAACTTGTTTTTCTCATACATCTTGGCAAGCTCAACAAGTCTCACACCACTCTCATACTTCTGTATTATTTCCTTCTTCACATCTATGGTGTTTCTTTGAGGCCCATGGCAGCTTATTTCATAGTCCCACAAGCATTAAACACAACGAAATAATCGTAAAATGCGTGAATGAGAGCGCAGGTTAGTGTTCACTCAAGCATAAACAAAGCTATACTGCTCACGGCGCCTGCGCAGGGACGCGGACAGAGTGGGTGGCAGACAGGTCCCGTGCCCGGCGGTCCGAAAATAGGGGCGCGTTCGGTAATAGGGACACTGTCCGAAAAAATGGTCCTATTTTCGAAACATTTGATTTTTGAGGTTCCACTGTAGTATTTTGAACATGAATCTTATGCAAACAAGTTATTTCCTATGCTGTCCTATACACGAATCTTTATACATGCCAAGTCAAAAATATGTAAGAGCAAAGTAATAGTATTACAGTACTGTATTAAATATTCATATATTCAATACAGAATAATTATGCACATTTGATGATGGTATTTGATGATAAACAATTACAGTAAGAACTTTTAAACAGCAAATAATTCAGGAAAACCATAACTCTAAGATATTTTATATAAATTTAATAATTTGAGCAAGAATTAAAAAAAAAAATTACTCCTAATATAAACAAGTCTATATATATATAACAAATATCTGTATAAATAACAGCTGGCTAAAACATCCTTTGTATTACTGTATGAAAATAATAATGGAATCCATACATGTAAATTACTTTTATAATACAAATGTATTACTACTTCTAAATATGAATATCATCATTTGGGCAACAGTAATATAATGCTTTATCCTCTCTATTAATCAGGGAAAATGCTAAATCTGTAGTGGTCATACAACACATATGGAATGAGAGATAATTGGGTTTAACCCAAGGAAGGGGAGGATATGTTCATTTCCTTTAATAAAGAGCCCTCTCACAGTCATCAAGGCACCTGCCTCAAGGGGTCATGTTTCAAACTTTTACAAAGTCTTTTCATCTGATATTCAAAGTGACCTATCAAGGTGGCTTGATGTCCACGAGGGGCTCTTGATCCAAGGAATTGGACCTAACCTCCCTTTTCCTGGATTGAAGCTGACTGCTTTCTATTTACCCCCACATGCTGTATGACCCTACAAGTTTAGGGCTCCATCATGAGTGGTAACACTAATAATGACAACTGGCTCTATTATGACGATATAGTGAACACTAATTAAGCAAGTGTAGTTTGATATGCTGAACTGTAAAATGTAATAATGAAGAAAAAACTTTTATAGCTGTATTTTAGAAGTGAAATATATAATGAGACTTGCATGTTACTCTAAACATTTAAAGGAACAATCAGTATTATAAAATATTTAAAAATAAGAGATGATCTGTTCACATTGCTGTGAAGGTTGAAATTATAAAATTGTAATGTATTTGCTTCAAAGAAATTTTTTTTTTTTGAGTGGACCACTTGCATATGATATATGTACTAACCCTATCCCATTATTAAGTGGCAACAACAGCCTTGTATATAATCCTCTTCCAAGTGTACAGTTCAGAATTCAGTTAATCATCTGCCGGAGGCTCCATTCCACAAATAATTGCCTTCATAAATGCTGCAGCAGACAAAGCTGCATATGGCTGCCAATCCTTATTTCTAGTGCCATCCCTGCAAAATATGGTTTGTAACATTTACATGTTATAAGGAGTCTTATTTACATGGTTTCAAACTATAGGATCTAAACAATGCATACATTATTATTATAATCAAAAAGAAGCGCTAAGTCACAAGGGCTATACAGCAACAATGCATACAATGTGCTGTGAATATAGGATGTACTTTAACACACCCTGGGTACTTGTAATGACCTCATTCATGGCTTAGCAACATCTTCCCCACTGAAAACAATTTAAGATAAAAATCAAGTGCTTCTTGATACAATTTGACATGATTTACTGTTTCATAGTTATCTTACCTCAGTGGCAGTTTCAAAGATTTCTTAATTACAGTACTTATGAGAGGCTGTACTATTTTTGAACCATATGAGTAGAATTATATTTTTTCTGACAATAAAAATGTTCTAAAAATTTCCTTCCACCTACATGCATACTGTGTGTATATACCAATAAAAAAGATAACTCTTTCTTTCAACACACCAGCTGTATTCCACTATTATACATAAATGTTAAATATGCTCACCAATATTTTATTTTACTAATTTGCTATTATCAATTTGACATAAAAGTGCTAAACCCAATTATTCAACTGTACATAGAAAATATAACCCCAGCAAGCTAAAATCCTGTATTTTCATTTCCCAACTTAATCTTATTGAAAAGTGGCCTGTACAAGATGACATATTCAAGGATTATGAAGATTTATTTGGAAAACTAAAAAAAACTGTTGCTTATAAAAAATTACTGTGCATATTTTGTGTTAAATGATATCTTGTGCACTGCACTCTTACAAAGAAGGAAAGTCTGAAAAACCAGTTGACAACTGGAAAACTACTATAATTTTTATACAGCCTGTTGCGGCCTCCTACCAAACTGGTGGTTAAGTAGTTAACCTGCCGGCCTGCAGTACCACTGGGTACGTCATCAAACCCAATGTGGGGACTGCTGAGCCGGCCGATTGATAGTGTTCACCAGTCTCTCACAGAATACACCTGCTGGTGACTGGCCTTTGAGTGTTCACCAGACTGCCTCACGGAGTGGATACCTGCTGACTTTAGTTTCTGTAGCAGACCTCTGCGATCTGTGAGTCTCTGTGTCAGAGAATGGACCCATGGGAAGCCAGGCTGTATGTAACCCGGTGAGTGTTGCGTGTCAGGTGACACGGACACAGAAAGTTAGGGTTGGGTAACCCAGTGAAGAGGACGTAAAGAGACAGTGTTAAAACATGGAGACAAGGCAGTGTTGTGGGTGTACCACGGAGCAAACGGTGTCGTGTGACACAGAAGGGCATTGTATGTGACACGGAGAACAGGGTATTGTGTGGTACATAAGAGTGTTATAATGCAGAGACAAGGTGGTGTCATAGGACATGATGATGGAGTGTCTTAACACTAGGATTGGTAGTGTCGTAAGACACTACCAATCCCAGTGACATAGGACACTGGGAAGTGACATATAACACTGGGGCACTTAGTGTTACGATGATTTACTTTTACTTCGATTGTTTGTGACTTTGTATAAAGTAGCTATACCAAAGATAGGAGTAGGAGTTGGACTCCTTGTTATATTTTTATGTAAAATACTTCTATAAGTAAAGATTATAAATTTTAGTGTTTATTTTTGTAATTCCGAACTCTCCCATGTTACAACACTAGTAACAGGCTAATGAAAAAGTAACACTACCTGTGTAGAGGTAATGGTGTTTTTATGTTAAACAGCCCTATAAAAGCTACTAAGAAATATTTAAAAGCATAAGCAAAACTACATGAATAAGTACTTACTGGTAGTCGCATATGCCTCTGATGATAACATATTGGTCCTTGCGATTTCCATATACAGATTCAATGACTGCATCAAATTCCTGGTCATAAGCAACAACAGAAAGCTGAGAAGCAAAATCTTGTCGCATTTGGTCATTGCCAACAACACATCTCCCCGAGGCTATAACACCTAAATGAATACGTGGCTTGGTTGGGTCTCTGCAAAATTATGGAATTATGACTAATTAGTACCACCTAATGACAGGTACTTGTACAGAATAACAGTGCTGTATGACCCTAACAGGTTTAGTGCTTGGTTATGATTATAATAATTATTCAGAATACTTACTATAGCCTATATAAATCCAATACCCATGTAACATTTTTCCTGGAACTACCAAGATAAATACAGATTTTTTCATTATTCATATTGCTATAAATTTTTATTAGCACTTCCATACCGAGATTCTTCTGTTTCTATTAAAAATTATATAAGGTGGAAAGCCTAATTTAAAGAAAGTTTTGTTCAAAATCCTTTCTCAAGTCTTTCTGTCTAGAAAAATTGCACAGCACACCAAAACCCCTCTAGATTTTTACCTCATTGGGTATTTTATTTACATAAAGTATTTGCATTTGTTGCTACAGAACAATGACAGCCTGCCTTCTGGGTGTTTTCATATTCTTCTACCATATTCTTATTCTCCCCCATTTTAACCCATTTATACAGACTACTTAACTCTTAGTCATCAATTCTCTTTATCAACAAAACCATCCATCTTTTATAAGGATTAGCTTGCTTTTTGTAACAAAATCAAGCACTACTTAAATGTTTAAATTCATTATAAACTTACAATGGAAACAAGTTTAATTTTTTTATTACAAAACCCAGGTGAAGGTAAGGAGGGTGGACAAATGCTGTCTCCCAGTGAGACATTCATCAGTGGTTTCCATTCCATCTCTTTTTTAATAACCAAATTAATATACTGCATAAATACAGTAGCTATAATACTAAACAGGTAAAATTAATACTGAGAGAGAGAGAGAGAGAGAGAGAGGGAGACATATATATATGAGAGAGAGACAGATGTGATTGTGGGAGGAAGTATTAGTTGCCAGACATGCAGTAGTTTTCTTTCATTTGACAAAGGTGGTTGACATGTTCTTTTCAAAATATTAATTTGCTTAACTATTAATTAGCCTTAAAAATTCCAATAATACTGTATTAAACACTGCAGAGTCAATTATAAACTTATCAAAGTGAGCAGTATTATTGTATTTAGGAAAAAAGCTCTGAACCCAGAGGGGTCGTATAGCCCCTTGAGGGTACTAAGGCCTGATTTAACGGAGGGGGAGAACTGGATCAATTTCTTGGATTGGCTATCTCATGGAGAGGCACCCAGTGCGAATTGTCAGGTTCTAATTTCAGTTTGCCGTATTCTATTGGACTGTCCAGTCTATCGGCGAGCAAGCAGGATTTACCTCTGACATTGTCAACACTCTTAACATCTTCCCTCCTCACTGATTGCCCCCACCTTTGACACAAGACTCCCTCTGAGTTTTTGACAGCAACTAATTTATTACACAACCTTTTATTATATTTTAGCACTCCTCACTGCCCTTACTAATTCTACCCTGCAGTACTGTATGACACTGGTGGTTTAGAGGTTAGTTTTGAATATATAGTAGACCGTCATTTAGCACGAGTTTATTTGGCACGATTCGAGTATAGCACGATTGAAGAATTGCATCACAATATTATTTAACACGTCGTAAAATTAATTTAACACTGTTCAGTTTGTGGGAGGGGAAAAATTTTGAGCCCGCAGTGGCCCACGGGATTGGCTGTGGGATACACTATTGAGTCAATGGGTGAAGCCTACCGCCAACCCTGCCACCTTAAGCCCCCACACTCACCCTCCCATCCTTCAGTTCGGTTCATACGCGTGTAGGACAATCTTCTGGGAGCTCGCCGTGTTTGTCTAGATACTTATTTTAATTGCCATATCTGAAATCTGCCAAGCAATCATGGCACCTAGCAGGCACATGAGTGTTGCTGAAAGTAGCAAGAAAAGGTTGAAGCGTGTAAGTCTAGGAATTACGAAGAAAATCGAGATATTAGATAAGCTTAAGAGTGGCTCATGTGTGGTGGATATAGTGAGGGCCTATGTCCTTAATGAAGCATCAGTTTGCATAATTAGAAAGAACGAGGTGAATATACAAGCTTGTGTAATGAATAACCCAAGATGTCATCTCATGAAAAGAATGACGTGTAGATCACAACAAGTAAATAAAACAGAAAACTTGTTGCTTGAATGGATCGAACAAAAGACAAAGAAAGGTGCACCACTTAATTTCAACTTAATTTGGAAAATGGCCTTACAGTTGTTTAAAGCAGTGTGTGATAAGGCAGGCAGGCCTGAAAACGAGTGTATGTTTAGCACAGGTTGGTTCCAAAACTTTAAGTTGCATAATAAGCTACATAACATTCAGTTTTCTGGTGAAAGTGCTTCAGCTGATCATACAGCAGCAATTAATCTGCTTGAGAGTCAGGTTCAGGAAATTGTTCAACTGGCAAGGAGATTACCAGGTGATGGTTTTTGAAGATATGAATGAAGATGTGAATGAGCTCTTAGAAGATAATGATGACAAAGACAAGAATCTAGAAGAAATGTTGGCAGAGCTTGATATACAGATACAAGGGACGGAGATAACAGAAGAAGATGAAGAAGAACCTGAAGAAAAACGGTTAACATTGCAACAGTTACGTGAGCAGTTCCATATTATTGGTAAAGTTGCAGACTTTTTCACTGAAGAAGACCCTGACAAATCTAGAAGCAGTGCTTTGAAACGGGGTCTAGACCAGCTGATGATGCCTTACCGTCAGTTGTATAATGTACTGCAGGGTAAAAGAGCCCAGAGATCCATTACAGAATTTATGCACACTCCAATACAACCATCAACTTCAGTACCAGAACTGCAACCATCCACTTCTGGCAACAACCAACAACCATCCACCTCAGCCCAGTAGGGCCACACCATGCATATCCACTCTCTTCACAATCATCCACAAACACCATTACCCACAATTTAAGGTAAGATATACTATTATTTCTATTGCATTTGTAGTCTTTAGCAGTAATATATCACGACAATGAACTACAATCACATATTCACTTTTATTTTTGTAAGCTCTGTTGGTCTAAAAATAAGTTGTTTGGCTTTGTTGGGGCTCCCAGGAACGTAACCCTATTTTTCCCATAGTGTTCTTCAGTTCATCTAACGATTTTACCTAGCACGGTATTTTCAGGAACGTAACTACAGTGTTAAATGACGGTCTACTGTAATAATAATTCCTTGGATCAAAGGGCCCCCTCATGTGCATATAGGAAGCTTCCTTGATGGAAGATGAGGAATAGATTACAAAATTAAACAAATTCCAAAATCAATTCAGGTAGCAGGTTTGTTTGCCACGCCTAAAAATCACATTGCAACTCCCTTTCTTAAATACTAAGCACTCAGTGATAAAGTATTGTAGACAACTACAGTTCATGTATAAATAGTGGAAGAGCTGATCACTATCCCCTTCTTTCTCAACTAATAGAGTTACACAGCCAGCCTTAATGCAGTGACTAACATTTTATTAGTCCAGTCGAAATTTGTTTAAATTTTGTTTGACAGTTTCTTTTATTCAAGATTAGTCGAGGCTTTTTGGCATTGTGTTTAATTTTTAATACAACATCTTAACAAAATCAAGACAGATTTGAAGAAATATTTGATTATACAGATTCCGCTTACCTTAGTACATTCACAGATTCTTGATTTGCTAGGCCTTCTTGGAATGCATCTCCATAAATTTGTAGAGATAATTATTTGGAAACCTAGGTAGTAGGTTGGTAGACAGCAGCTGCCCAGGGAGGTACTACCGTCCTACCATGTGAGTGCAAAACGAAAGCCTGTAATTGTTTTACATGGTAGGATTGCGGTGTCCCTTTTTCTGTCTCATAAACATGCAACATTTCAGGTACATCTTGCTACTTCTACTTACACTTAGGTCACACTACACATACATGTACAAGCATATATATATATACACACCTCTGGGTTTTCTTCTATTTTCTTTCTAGTTCTTGTTCTTGTTTATTTCCTCTTACCTCCATGGAGAAGTGGAACAGAATTCTTCCTCCATAAGCCATGCGTGTTGTAAGAGGCGACTAAAATGCCGGGAGCAAGGGGCTAGTAACCCCTTCTCCTGTATAAATTACTAAATTTAAAAAGACACTTTTGTTTTTCTTTTTGGGCCACCCTGCCTTGGTGGGATACGGCCGGTTTGATAAAAAAAAAAATTATTTGGAAAGCAGTAGAAAAAAAATTAAAGCTATCTTTTCGGTTCATTTGTACAGGTTAAATTTAAGAGCCTGATACACTAAACATTATTTATTTATTTATTTTATTAACACATCAGCCAATTCCCACCAAGGCAGGGTGGCCTGAAAAAGAAAAACTTTCATCATTCACTCCACTGTCTTGCCAGAGGGGTGCTTTACACTACAGTTTATAAAACTGCAACATTAACACCCCTTCCACAGAGTGCAGACACTGTACTTCCCATCTCCAGGACTCAAGTCCGGCCTGCCGGTTTCCCTGAATCCCTTCATAATTGTTACTTTGCTCACACTCCAACAGCATGTCAAGTATTAAAAACCATTTGTCTCCATTCACCCCTATCAAATATGCTCTCACATGCTTGCTGGAAGTCCAAGCCCCTTACACACAAAACCTCCTTTACCCCCTCCCTCCAACCTTTCTTAGGCCCACCCCTACCCCGCCTTTCCTCCACCACAGATTTATAAGCTCTCGAAGTCATTCTGTTTCGTTCCATTCTCTCTACATGTTCGAACCACCTCAACAACCCTTTCTCAGCCCTCTGGACAACAGTTTTGGCAATCCCGCAACTCCTCCTAAGTTCCAAACTACGAATTCTCTGCATTATATTCACACCACACATTGCCCTCAGACATGACATCTCCACTGCCTCCAGCCTTCTCCTCGCTGCAGCATTCATCACCCATGCTTCACACCCTTATAAGAGCGTTGGTAAAACTATACTCTCATACATTCCCCTCTTTGCTTCCAAGGACAAAGTTCTTTGTCTTCACAGACTCCAAAGTGCACCGCTCACCCTTTTCCCCTCACCCTTTTCACCTCATCTTTCACAGACC